AGACAGCAGCGTGAAGTCAAGGAGGGGGAGTTCCTGCCCGAAGGCAAGCACCCAGACCCGATTCCATTCTTGCGGAACGATGTAAGGGACACCAACAGCTTTGATGACAGCCTCGATGATGGCTGGCGTGGCCCCAAACAAAAGCCCTTCAGCAAGGCATTTCACGTGTGACCAAGGCCCTTGTTGGCATCAACAAACCTCGGGTCGTCCTGCAGAAGGGCCCGGCGGGCAGCAGCGAGGTGCTGGTGCAAGATACGGACAGCAACGCCCCGCTTAAGAGGGGAAAAGCCAGAGAAGCCGTGCAGGGCCCTGGTAAGAGCAAGAGAGGCCCGGATGCCTTCGGCAGTGAGAGGCCAGAAGCGGTGGACAACCGAGTGATCGCTAGGGTCCTCTCTTCGCGTGAAGAAATCCCTGACGAAGAAGATGCCCGTGCCAGAGAGCCGCAAGTAGGCAAGCCGGTGCGACCGGGCGAGTTTGATGGTGAACTGGATGACCCTCCTTGTGAGGAGTGCCTTGGAGAATGCGCATGGCATAGCACCCGTGGATGGGGTGGTCTCAGCCGCAGGGTCAAAGACACTGATTTGCAGAGGCCCTTCAATTTGCACGTGCGAAGGCATGGCAGGCAGGGCAGCCTTGGACGTGCCAGGCACAATCAAGCACTTTCTAGGTCCTCCAGTACAGAGGTTAGCAGAAGGGTACACCCAAACGCGAAAGTCCTTGCATTTTCGTGTTTTTCTTGAAAGTGCAGCCTGCCAGTAAAAACAACGCAACGAGTAGTCCCGGCAGGGTCCTTGCAACTGAGCCTTCCCCACTGGCACACGGCGCCCAAGTGTCTCCTAAAACTGCTTTGTTTGAGTACCACTACGGACGCAATCCCCATGGCACATCGCATGTTACAAGGCACTTAAACGCATTTTAAGCATACACGTTTAAGTACGAGTAAGAAGGCAATCCCCATGGCACATCGCATACCAGTTGGGACCAAGATGTTGCTTGACTATGTGTGTTTGCACGCCAAAAAGAAGGCAATCCCCGTGGCACATCGCATGCTCAACAACATCGAAACAAGTCTTGCAAAAACAAGTTCGTGTGCTAGTACGAAGGCAATCCCCATGGCACATGCATACCCAAAGGCAACCAAACACATCTCAAAGACATCTTTTCGAAGCACACAAATGAAGGCAACCCCCATGGCACATGGCGATGGGAGTGGGCCTCAACATTCAACAGCGCACCTTCGCCAAACACTCCTCAAAGTATCCGGCCCCCCATGGCACACCAGACACTTGGCTTTGTGTACAGTGGGGGGCTGGGGTAGCACTTGCGTCGCCAGCAACATCTAAGCCTGCAACTTCTATCACCTCGAATCCTACTGGCACACAGCTGAACAACACAAGGAACCAGACTCCCATGTGTTAGTTGACTGAATCTTCTCATTATCTTGGCCGGAGGCAGTGTGCCATTGCGTTTTGTGACGGGAGTGGGCCTCAACGTGCAACAGCGCCCCTTCACCAAACACTCCTCAAAGCATCCGGTCCCCCATGGCACACCAGACACTTGGCTTTTGTACGGTGGGGGGCTGGGGTAGCACTTGCATCGTCAGCAACATCTAAGTGAAACGAGTGTACCCATGCGATTTGATTCAAAATGGCTTCATGCCACACATCATAAAAGACAGCATGATCATGACCCTAAATAGCGGCACACTGCTTGCGGCGCGAGATCATGGCTTGCGGGGCGTGTAACCACAAGGACCCAGTAAGTGTTTTTTCAGGCGTGTGCCAATGCGATTGGCCACCCAAAATGCCTCAACATCACCAACACAAACCGCGATCGAGGGAAGGTGTTTTCCATGTGTGCCAGTGCGTTCGGCCTACCCAAAAGACCTCAACTTGATCAATGAAACCATCTCAGGGGACCACGTTCAGCATGTATTTCTCTACAAAAAAGACCTCAATATCACGCAGCAATTGTCTCTTGAAAACATGCTAAACCAAACGCCACTGGCACACGGAGTTGCAACGACCCTACCGGATGCGTTTCGTGTGCGTATTACACGAAAAACATGCTGCCAAAACCAAACGCAACGACTTTCACAGGTGAGAGTACCCTTTTTTTTCTGTAACTTATTTTAGTAGGGGAGCCTCCAGGCCACTACTGGGGGACCTAGACTTTGGTAGCTCCGGCTCCAAAACCGCAAGAATAGTGTGCAAAAGAGGCCACCCCTTAAATCCTGCACCCATGCCTTTCGCGCAGCCTTCGCAGAGCTTTCGCAGAGCTTTCGCGGAGCTTTCGCGGAGCCTTCATTTTTGAAACTGGCAAACAGCCTGTGCGCACTGATGAGCAAACGTATACTCTCGCACGGTCAACGCCTGCTCATTCTGCGCGGCCTGCCCCAAGCGTCGTCTGAAAAAGTAGCCCTTTCAAGGTGCTTTCGCGGACCGAGTTTTCGGAAAAAGCTGTTGCGAGCTTTCGCGATGCAGGCTTTTCCTTTCGCGGAAGTTTTTTTGGAAACCGTTTGCATAAAGATCATCGTGGGGGTTTCGGGAGCTTCTCATGTGCTTTTTGAACAACCCACTGACCCATGCCACCATGCCAGCCCAGGTGCCAGCGTAACACCAGGCGGTCGCAAATAACATCACACCTGAGACGTGGACTAAAGCACGAAGCCCTTAGTCTGTCTGAGCAAGTTGCATTAATTCAACAAATCCAACATAAGGGCTCCCTGCGAAAGGAACCTTCATCAGTGACCAGTGACCACGTATGAGGATTTTTTTAACTTGCCAATTTGCCTGGAAAAATTTATCCTCCTGTGCTTCCCTGCATGGCACCCTAGAAACACTGAAGGAGCAAGTCCCAATGGTCAACCCTCCGTCCAGAATATATATATATATATGTATATATGTATACATATATATATATATATATGCATACACACTTTATTCAACTAAGCGAAGTACTATAAAGTACATGTTGCGCTACGCATAAGCAAGCCTGGAGCTGTCAAGTAACCTACACGCACGTCAATTTGCTGCCCCAAAGCATGTTCCGGCCGTGCAAAGGATCTTGAAGGATGTTGCATGTCAGCTTTTCATTGACAGCCAAGCACATAATATACATATTGTCAACACTCCGTGAGAGTAAGCGTACCCACACCCACCCACACCCACACCCACCCACACCCGCACCCGCACCCACACCCACACCCACACCCACACGCACACGCACACGCACACGCACACGCACACGCACACGCACATGCACACAGGCACGCACGCAAGCAGGCACGCAGGCAGGCACGCCGGCACGCAAAGGCACACAGGCAGGTACGCAAACAAATACACAGGGACGCCAATACGCAAAGCAACCCAACTCCTTTCAAATCGTTGGAGCAAAGCACAAATAGGTCTACCTTGGAACTTGGAACAATGTGTCAGACGCTGGGACGCTGCGCTCTTGTCTGGCCACCTTTCTCTCCAGGGCCCGGGCCATCGACAGGCGCTGCACCGGCACCGGGGCCACTGCATGCTCTCGCGGGCACGCCGGGTGCACAGCAGAGCGCCGGTGGAGCTGCTGAAGGTCGAGCCGCCTGGTGCTTGTGGTCCAACTTGCGGATGGTCGTGGACACTGTAGGTGCAAGCCGAAGAGGGCGCGCAAAGCGCCTTCCAAGGTGCAGGCCGGGCAATACACAGCTCGAAGCAGCTGCTAGGCCTGTTGTTTTTTGTGCACTCTCAAGTGTTGAGCCGCAAGTTGTGATGCTGGGCTCAGTGCTGGGGGCTTTTGCCTGTGCAAAGTGAAGATGGCTCCAGAGGGTTTAGGAGCGGGCCTGGCTGAAATTGGCTGAAGGGTCATTTGGGTTAGGGCCGAAGAAGTTGTTTTTCTCTGTGAGTCAGCCACAAGCTGTTGTCCGCTGTGCTATGTAATGAGCGAAGGCCACCTTGCTTGTGATCTCAGTACATGTCTGCGCAGTCTTGTGCATGAGATGGCTGCGGTCGAAACTCCAACTTATCCCATCGCGAGCTGATGTCACTGCTACATTACGAATTGTCCTGCTAAAATCCGTCAAACATCGGGCATGAGTGTTGCATGCGAGTCACAACCCAAAGCCCCGCCACCCAAGCCTACGCAAAAACAAAATGAATCTTTTCAGGCAGAGGTTTCCTCTGAGTCTCTGAGGATGCCTCCCACGGTTTTGGTCTTGAATACGGGCTTGTCTCATGGGGGAGCATCAATATGGGTGGTTCCCCCAAACATCGAACAAAACCACGCCCATACTCGTCTCCTGGAAACAACACACACACACACACACAAAAAAAAAAGAAGAAGAAAGACTCTCGGGTCTGGCGGTCAAGTCTGCTATCTCCTGGTGTGGTTGATATATGATTCTCCGTGAGGAGCAGGTGGTCAAGAGACAACCCGCTCCTGCCATCGATGTCTGAAGCCGGAACAAAAAACCCTCAAACATTAAGAGCGAGCAAACAGGTTGGTCCATAAGCAAGCCTTACCTGGATTACTGGCCAGATGATGCCCTAAACCTTGGGAACACCCTGCAATTGACCATTGTTTTACTTGTAATATCCTACAACAATGCGGGAATCAAGCACACGGCGAATTTAAAGATCTGTTGCCCATGGGCGCGGTCGCAAGATCCCTTTGCGACGGGCTGATGTCAGGTTTCCTTGACTCCAACTCTCAGACTGCGCAAACCAAGCAAGACGGTTTCAAAACAGGGAACCCGAAAACGGTCGAATTCGGAGCCCCACACCTGCAGTGGGCAAAGGAAAGCGGGAAAAAAGGAGGCCCGACGTGATCTGGAGCTTTCGTGACCCCGGTAACCAACCCCTAATTCTTATTCTAATTCTGGTAATTAGTGTGTGTGCTGGATCAAATGGTGGTGGAACAAAGGAAGGTTCAAAACCAGCTTCCAGATTGCTTCAGCTTCTTGAAGAAACCCTTGGACCTGTGGCACAGCTTCGCTCCCCCGATTGCGACGAAACAGCCTCGACCGCTTCCAGCCAGGGAGTCTCCTAAGCCATGGACTCGATTCGAAAGCATGGGAAATCTTTGCATAAGACTCCATGCGAGTGGGTCCAAACTTGGCAATGTGGAGTCTGCTTCAATATTCCCCCCTGAACAGTGCCAACAGTCATGCGGGAGAGTCTGCTGCCTCTTTAGTGGGACGGGGAGTCTGGGTTGGACTTGGACCTGCCAATACTTAACTTAGTATTGCCGAGACTCACTCTCAGATTTCAAGTACTCGAGTTAGTACTGCCAATTTGAGCTGTGGCTGAGCCAGGAGGAGATCAGCCCAGTTTAAAAAGAAGACCTGCACTTTGTTTGCATGTTTTAACTGGAAGGGCGAGGGAGGGATGGACAAAATCCTTCTATTAGAGCGACCCTCGAAACAGTCACAGGGTTCTGGAGCTACCACGGGTATAAAGCGGAGTCCAACATTATATATGGAATCTGTAGGATGGAATTCACTTCTGAGGGTGGGTCGTTGAGGGTACCCTTTTTGGAGTAGGTTTGAAGGGGACAAACGAAAACCCACTCCGGTTCCCCTATACACCACTTGGATGTTGAACTCGATAAGAAAGTGGAAGAACTGGTCTGGGTTCAAACCATCATTACACTTGCTGGTTCTCAGCAGGAATGAGGAAAATACCCCTTTTGAAACCATCCCCTTGTGGCTTCCTTTAAGGGAATCCCTGGATTCATTCCCAAAGCCCTGGACCATTCCCTACTGAGCAACAGCAAGTAAAAACAATGGTTGGGGTAATTTATAACCACCGTTGTTTACCGTCCAGCATTGTCATCTAAATTGGGTCCGGTCAGCCATGTTTTTCTCATGGGGCCCAGGAACCCTAGGGTTTAGGCTGAAATCAACGAGCCTACCCCGACGGAGCCAGCCTGGCGTGGCCACACGGGCAGGCTGCGCAAACCCGGAACCTCGAAACTCGGCTTCGCCGGAGCTTTTGGCAAGACGCTCCCGATCAATATAGGGCCCTCAAACACCCAGGTTTTGAGACCGGGTCCCAAACACCTCCGGGGTGTCTAATGGAGGGGTCGGGTCCCCCATTGGGAGCCCTAGGAGCCTCTGCATGTCCATGCTCTGGGTGGGGAAATGCTGGCAGGCCTTCAAAAAGGAACCCTTCAACGGGTGGTTGGAAAACGGGTTTGTCCTTGGAGGGGAACCCCACCCCTCCGCAAAATTGAAATGGTGGGCGGGTAGCCCTTGAAGAGAGAAACAAAGCCCAATGGACCCCCTTGCATAAAACGCCACGAGATCAACAAATGTTGCACTCATCACCGGTGTCCTTTTTGAACTTAAAAAATGAATAAGAAAACAACATACACTCACCTCCAGCCAACGAAGAAACTCACTATATGAGCAAAAAATAACCTGGGCCTCAAAGCTACAATCCTAAACAGCCACACAATAAGCACCGATGCTGAGGCCATTGGCCTCAGCTCTGTACGCAGACCCCAGACACCTAAAGGTTGCTTGGGGCATTGGTCCCTGTCGGGCCACCCATGTAAGACGCAGGTCAAGCAAAGGTATGTCGGAGGCAAGGTCCCATCCCAATTCAAGAACCAACTGATAATAATGAAGTACTTTAATTTAAACAGCCCCTCGTTTGCTCTACCCATGTTTGACAATGGCTCTTTCCCGGCAAGCCTGCAACCTGAAATCATTTTATCCAAGCCCGTCATGCCTACATTGCACCAGACTAGGTACATGCAGCTTCAACAGGCCTGAGGCCTCCGCATTCTCCGCGGATCGGCACATCAGGGGGATGCCATGCTCCCAGATTCTGCCGTTCATGCGCAGAAGCAGCCACTGACGAGCTCGCAGGCATTCCTGGTGTGGGGCCAAGAAAGGACCAGTCCAAAATGTTCCATCGGTGTCCCTCGTGTAGTGCCCGGTGACGAACATGGGGAAATCTGGCAAGTCTTTTGTTGTTTGTAGATGTTGACCAAACCTCACAGACCGCAAACACAACTCCCCGACTTTGCGCAACAACATCTCAAAGGTGCAATTGCCAGCAGCTGATCCGAAAACTGCACAATGTTCTCTGAGACCGCCCCGCTGAATGAGTTGAACCGCGTTTCTTGGCGCCTCGTTGTTGCCTTTGCAGATCTTCTCCTGGATGAACTTCTTCGCCTCAGACTTCTGTTTGGATCAGAATTCTGCCAGCATGACCATCCCTCCCTAGAACCTGCAGGGAAAATGCAAACCACCTGAAACACATGGAACACAACGAGTGACCAAAACTGAAAGCACTCGGACCTTCCAACGTTGCAATTGCTGAACTTGATTATTTTAACACATATGATTTCGAAGAAAATGAAAATTTGATTAACTACCCACACAAGCTCAGGAATTTGATTTGAGCGATAAGATTGTGGGAACATGGTTGAAGGCTCATGTGGTCGTACAGTCAATGATTGGACAAAGCAACTTTATCGCTACTTTACCGAGTCTTGCTCCCGTTTTGCTGGTAGGTGCGCTCATTCTGCGAACCGATGTCTTAATCTTGGCCTGCTTTGTTGCAGCAGTAAAGCTGCCAAATTGGCAACACTTGCATAGCCTCCTTGGACCAGTTTTGCGGTCGAGTTCCCGAGAAAAGGTATGTGCATCAAGCAAGCAGTTACAAATCATCAAAGAACACACATTTGTCTGACAAAGACAGGAAGGTTGAGATGTCTCCTGTGCATTCTGCCTATCTATTCACAACAGGGACCTGAGAAACTGGTGCGCCCTACAGGTCGCAAAACAAACCAAGACCACACCCGAACTCATCCAGGCTCCTACAAGGGCCCTCCGCCAAAAATGGTGAACATCAAGAAGCAAGTTTTGGGACCTGAAACTAAGGTTTTATCCTTTTGGGGGGAAATCAAAGGCAGGACTGAAGGGAACGTCATCCCCCCCCATAACAAAGACTTTCGCAGTCGGCAACCCTTTCCACCTTCTTGGTATTTTGCTAGGTGAACTTTCTCCAAATTTCAAAGCTGAAGACATGGAATATCTCTAGAGGCTTCCTTTTTTCCAGGTCGCCTTCGTTTTATAGCTTCGTGTTACCAGGCTTTAGCCCCTCCACCCGAATACATGTCGAGACCAAAGGAAGCCGAAGCGGGTTTACGGGCTTCGAGGCGCCGGCGCCGGCACGGTGGAGGCCGGTGACCTCGAGACCGGTGACCGGTCCTCGAGTCTTTTGATTTAGGGGTCAAAGGGGCCAATGAGATGGTCATGGTTTTTTGGCCATCCTGGAAACACGCTTCTCCAAAAGATTTCTCCCGACCATCATCTTGGCCATTTTGTGTTCTGTTTTCCTGCGTTTGCTTAAGTCCCAAAATCTCTCCAGAAGTGATAGATTCCCTTTAACAAGGGAAAATAGTAAAGAACATATTCTTCAAATGGAAGATTTTGGCCATAATCCTGGAACCACTTTTGTTCCAAAGATTTCGCCTGACCATAGTCTTGGCCAAACCCTTCTTGTGTTCCAAGTGTAGTGGGCATTGAATGGTCTAGATGTGTTGTGCTGGAGGAAACTGGTAAACAACGAACATATTGATATTGGTTTTATTGGGAGAAGGACCCGCATAGCTTCTTCATCACCTGAATGTTAAGCGACATCCAGCCCAAGATACCAGCTACATGGAATCACAATCCAGCCAAGGGCTTGAGGAAGACTTCCGCAACATGCTCCTCTGCAGCTGATTTCGGCGGAAGCCTTCTTCAAACCTTAGAACTCTACTGATATTCTGTCCTCCCTACTGACCAACCGACAAACCGACCACCCCGGAAAAAGAGCCAAAACTCAGACAAAACGCGGGGTCCATTGCTCCAGCAACAAATCACCAAAGGGAAAATCAAAATGAGGAACCGCCCACTTCAACTTTCATTCCTTCAATATTGCAAGCATCATCCTCCATTTGCTTAAGTCTCCTGCAAAAACAATTCCAGCAGTGGTAGATTCCTTTTGAAACCAACAGGGGAAGTGAACAAACATTCTTAAGTGAAAGGACGCCTACTACTTGTCACTGAGGGGGATTCCCTTGGTATTACCCCCCCCACAAAACTTGTACAGCAGTGCCATACCTTTTTACTCACCTGAGTGGATTGGCCACATGGAAACTCTGTGACAAAGAAGACTAAAATGGTAAGTCGTTGGACAAACTTTCCGAGGTCCCCTGATTCTTACTGTCAACCGCCTGGGGTCCCGACGAACCACTCATCCAGGACCTTGTCCACGGCTCTCAGCACCCGCGTTTCTGGGTCCGAAATGGCGGATGCCGCCTGCAACGGACAACAGCGCCAGCTTTGTTTCAGGGTACCCCAAAAGGGCAGTTTGAAATGGAATCAAGCACACAACATTGAGCTCGCGCCTCGGATTCGCCGGCCATGGCCATTGCTCGATTCGTTTCTTTAAGGGGATTCGGGATTCGAGTGGGGGCTTGTGTTTCAAGGGAAGCTAAAAGGAAACCACACGTTTCTGGGGTCCGTGTACGACAAACCCAGAAGAAATCTTGTGCCTGGCTTGAAGAAACCTTAGACGGATTCCTATGCAGTCAAGACCCTCGCAAGTACTTCGAGATGTCAATTGATTTGCATGGTTAGGGTGCACCACCCTGATTAAACACAACATGTTCATAAATAGTTGTGTATGCTTTTAAATATATATATATATATATACATGTGTATATCACTTACAAGCTTGGTTGATGTTTCAAAGCAGTTCTTTTTGTCTCCTTCTTACCTGACATTCTCAGGATCGTGAGAGGCTTGCGATCCGCACTGTTTCTGAGCATGCCCGACTTTGTGCAGTATCCGCATGTATCTCGAACTTGGATGCAACAAAACTCCGGGGCTCTGAGTATATTGCGAAACTCTGGGCAATATGCCAAGTATCACGAGGCCCATGGTCGACAGCCACACGGCTGCAGTCGCGTGCACGCAAGACCTGGGTTGGGTTTTGCCGGTTGCAACACCGTGGCACGTTCTCGTGTCGTCACCTAAAACGAGGCCGGAGGCAGGGATAGGCTCGCCTCAAGCGCTTCCAATGTGGATACTCATAGCCATACAGCAGGAGGTGGTCGTAGCCTGCATTCCGCAGCAGGTACCTGGCGCATGCGTGCAAAGCGGGAAGGAACCGCTGTGTTCCGCTTTTAAGGAAAACCAAAAGCAAAACCCCCTTACCGCTGCAGCAAACGAAACAAAACATCTTGCCCCAAACCCCCAATCCACATGGGTTCTTGGCGTCCTTTCAAACCAGCCTCCAAAAGGGCACCCGTCTCCACGAATGGCTATGGAGGGTCAGACGCTGCAACATGCTCAGATCACTTGCTTGCAACCAAAGGAACAGGCTCACCTGTTTGCCATGACTTCAAGCCCAAACGAAGAACCCCCAGGTCAGACGGTCTTGAACAACTGAGTGGTTCCTATAATAATATATTTAGACAACACAATAACATATATTTATATATGCTTCAATTCAATTCAGACATACCCAACGCAATCCAGCTCGACTCCACTCAATTCACTTCAATCAAAACTCTTAATGCAACTTTCGATTTTCTATTCGCGACTCTCGAGTCTCGATTTGCTTCCTCTAAAACCCGATCTAACCCATCCCGACCCGACCCAAAGACTAAGGTGCAACTCCGAGCTAAGTATCATCAGGCACGCCAATATTCCAGAAGTGTTCGAAACCCCACATCTTCCCGAAATAGTAAGATTATTGATGTAAAGCCAGCAACACTTTTGACAATATGTGTTTGGCAATTGTTGGGCAAGTTAAACCTTGTCCACTACCAAACATGCCAAACGATCCAGTCATAAACCTTATTTTCCCAAAGTTAAAAGATTCCGAGCCAAGTTTACAAACGCCAAGCAACACACAACATAGATATATCAACTGATCAACTCAACAGTTTGATTACGCTTGCCAGGCAAACGCAATAGCTGTTTTCTGTTGTTACATTGCCATTGTCTCTAGCTGACTCTAGCTCCTTTGCACATGGGACAACCTAACCTGCAGATTCCCCATGCTGCGTCCATCTTTTGAGAAACCGTTTGTTCTCCTGTTGGTGACTTTTTGGAAAGGATCCACGGATTCATGAAAACTGGGCAAAGAAACATCCGCTGCCTTTCTTTGGAGGTTCAACTCATGACCTCAGTGAGTTGGCTATAGTTTAATGATGGCTACGAGACTGGTTTGCGTGAAGCTGGGACCTACCTGGTGAGTTTTACATCCAAGGCACTCAAGCTACTACCCTCAAAAGGACAAGGGGCGCAAAAATATACACATATGCCAATGTGCATAGGGAGACAGAGTGTCACATGTCATATAGCTATGTCATGCCATGTGTAGCCTTCATTTAGTCAACTCTCATTCCAAACTTCTCCGGCACGGGGAAGACTCGAGGCTCGTCGCCACCTCCCGCACGCACTGCAGAAACGGCGCCTCGCAGCATAGCTCGGGGGTCGGATCATCAGTGGTGAAGGGCCCAAAAACGGCTCTCGTCAAAGACTTGAGGGAAGGGCCTGGCCAACCCCTTGTTTCAACATGCTTAAGCTATTCGCCTTTCCCGTTGGCTCAGATAATTGCGCAGTCAAGTTGTGTACGCCCTTTCCGCCACCAAGTCGTCTGGCAAGCATGGGTATATCCTGCACTGATCCATCTGTGAGCTGATCTTTGTGCTATTGAACAGCGCTGCGAGAACGTCATCCCCCGCATGGAGCGAAGATATGTTCATCGATTTGTAAGGGTGTCCCTGCGGACGGCATAGCCACCCTGAAAGCTATGCCCCTGTTCTTGGAACCCTCTTCTACTCATCGTAAACGATGTCTCTATTGTGTCGAAGGAAAGTGCATGCTCCGGCAGCACCAAGCGTCAAAACCAAAGCCAAAGGTCGCTGCTCAGTTGGGTTTCCGGTTGCCGATGCCCTGCAAGCTCATGAAACACACCCAACAATCAAACCAAGTGACATCACCATAGTCTGACTGGTGCAAACCACCAATTTAAGCCTACAGATCTGGATCTGGAGCCCGTGGAACCTAGGAGGTAGTGGTGTTTCTGCGCTCAGCCAGCTGTTGCCCGTGTTCCCCCACTTCAAACAACTCATAGGTTTCGCTAAAGGTTTCCATACTGATTGCGCTCCAAAGGCCGAGCCAAGGAAAGTCAACTCATCAGTCTATGTGGGGTTTCTCCAAGCCCCAAACCGGCGACCTATTCGCGTGCCGGTTTGGCCTGTTCGGGATCCTCCGTGCGTTGATCCAGCCAGAAGAGCAGCGGGAAGTAGGCAGGCACCTCAAGCGTCTGGAACCAGCAGGGCTTGAAACCCGAAACGATAGCAGGCAACCAATTCTTGGTGGTGACCATTTCGGGTGACGCCCAAAAAATGAGACCTTCACACAAAATCAACACACACACACACACACTTCGATCCATCGCGGGTTAGAACCTCCCAATCCCTGGTTTAGCGGGGAACTCAGTCATCTTTGGAACATGCCTCGGATTAGGGTCGTCGGAGATTGATCCGAAGTTGACACTGCTCCGAAAAATCAGAACCTCAGAGACCCTTACGGTACGCAATTCACCGCTTATGACATCCCTGAAGGGTAAATGACCATCCCAGCAGTCAAGTCTTTTGGCCCTGGCAACGGAGCCAAGATGCTAGAAGAGATTTCTGAAGCTCAAGAGAAAGAACCTGACAAGGTGCGACGGAATATAACCATCGTGGTGTGGGTTCCCCTGTGGATTCACTAAGATGGTATGCCCTTGAGCTTGGATTTAACCTTCTTGGTGGGACCTTTGGCGGGTAGCTGGCTGACTCAGGGACCTGACGCACGCCTCCATCTAGTTGCAAGGTTGCCAAGGAAAGAGGGGACTGTGGCAGATCCAAGCTGGCTTTTGCCGTCACAGCCAAGCCACTGTACCGTGGTCCCACAAGTCACATCCCATCCACTTGGCATGCCTCTATCACAATGCCTGGGAAGGCCGTCAGGCGATCAATGCCTTGAAGTCCCCGATGCCATCCCCTTGCCAAAGCCTATTTGAATATAAATCCCCCCCGCCTAAATGACAGAACAACTGGTAGATGTCATGACCCTGGAGCCCTGCGCAGCATATCTTTTCCTGCCCTAGAAAAAGATACCATCTCTTTGCCGCTTTTTGGTCCCTTTGCTGGACATTTGAGGACCAAGGCCGGTGCCCAAAAGAGCTCAGCCTCCTGCGAGACTGACGAGACCGCTCAATATTGGGGCTCAGGTCTCCCCGCTGTTTGATTCAGCATCCAACTCTCGCATTGTCTATGCACGCGTGTCCATTTGCGAGTTGGTTTTCAAGCTCACTTGAAAAAAAGCCAAAAGCATGGACTACTAAACCCGTGTGACACATTCGCATGATCCAAAGGGCTAGACTCACGGGCTACCATCGCGTCTGCTTGCTTGCTGGGGTCACTGGGACCCAGTGGCCACAGAAGAAAGAGGACCCGGAATGCTCGTCCTTCTCTTGTGACCCTGAAACCCCGTAAATCAAAATCGTTTTGAACCGGAAGGGCTGAGTTACTCAGGCATGAGCCATTGGCACGAACTTGGGAGGTCGCATCACTTACTGTTAATTTTCGATAAATTCGTAGGACCGTGGTAATCAGGGGTGGTTCCCCGTTTAAGTAAGGAAATGATCAGTGTGTTGTTTTTGCTTTTATTGGGGGGGGGTTCCCCCAACTAGTAGAGTGTTTGGATGAATCCGAGGTTAACATGACACTCTGCATTCCTCCCCCCCCAAAGAACAGGAATTCACACTGAAGATAGGCATCGCACACTCGCAATGGTAAACCACCAGGCGCAGTGGTTTGCGGTATGGGGAAATGGGGAAGCAAGGCAATGAGCTGGCCTGCGGTGCAAAGCGTTGTAAGCAAATACAATGCTTCTCCAAAAAGCCAAAGCTGACATCCAAGCGAATTGCGATTCAAGCGCAGACACCATATCAAATAGGGCAAGGTCTCATCCAGGAAGCAGCTTGTCACGGCTTCGATTTGGGTCATGCAGTATGCTCCGCATTTGAAGGCAAACATGTCAGGAACAGGAACGGACAATAACACTTTCGATTGGCTCATTTTGCGAGTCCCCTCCTTTTTGCAAAAAATAGGAGAAAGGTCCCGTGTGTCTTCCTAAAGTGAAGGGACTGTGTGAAACCCTCATGAAAACTACCCACAACAACAAGCCGGTCATGAGGAACCCAAAACACCTGGAGCTTCTGTCTGTATTTCTTCAATCCCAAAATATCAAATTGTGTTGAGACGCCATGACTCTACCTGAGCATTTGTCCTGCGACGTGGAATCCATATGGCCGTCCTGACTGATCCATGTCTTTTAAAATGACCCTGCGACAAGTGGAGCGTTTTGCTATTGACAATTGTTAAACCTATAGGCAGTTCCTAGGGAAATTGTCATCGTTCAAAAAGCAAAAGGGATTTTCATGGGTCAAAGAGCAGGAGGGAGCAAACGAACTGCCCGTGCTCCTGTCCCCAGCTCCCGTCCTCAGGCTGCTCAACGAGGTGATGTTGCTTCAAGTGCTCCTCGATTGATTGGAGCGCGTCTCACAACGTACTTTCCCATGAACCCAAATGATTACCGAAGGCCGCAACAAATGGCGAGGATGGATCCTATCAACTTGGAGGTTCCTCAAGCTTGCATCTCTGAAAGACCGTGCTTTTCTCACGGGTTTGGCAGGACTTGGAAGGGGTACTTCCAAACAGTCCATATAGGTAATACCAACATTTGACCCATTTGGAGGGTAAGTGCGGGTATATACTACCTACGTGGATTGTGTGCTTTGTTTCCTTTCTACATTCTGACAGGATCCCGTCCTGGAGCACCTGTAGTGGAAGCAAACTGGGCAACATGAAGGGCGTGTGCATCACGAGAATAGGATTATATCGCTCAAGAGCCAAAACATCATCTTCCCAAAAACAACACATTGCAAAGTACACGCATTTTGGGGCCTTTATGCAGGATGATGGATTCTCTGTGGTGTCTCGTTTAATCAACACATGCATGCGTGTTTTTCGATGGTACCCTTTTCACTCCACATGCAAAAAGGGCGAGGCATCCACATGGGGGGTCTGTTTTAGGGGACCTCCCCAAGAACAAACCATGGTTTCCTTGTGGTCTTCCTTAGGACACGAAGAACAAGGGTACAGGGACCCTCCATTTGCTTCAGTCCCCTGAAAAAGATAAACACATTCCAGTAGTGATGTATGCCTTTTAAAACCAACAGGGGAAAATAGAAAGATATTCTTAAGCAAATGGAAGGAGACACACCCACATCAACACCACGGTTCTCGCAGATTTTGAGCCCCGCAGGTGCCTCGATGGCTGTGATCTGCTGCAGCATGCCCGTGAGGTGCAACTGCTCCTAGGGCTGACTCCCTAAATGACTTGCTGGTGCTCAGTGGGAATGACCGTTCCAGGTGCTGGGATTGAACATATAACATATAGATTCCCTGAAGGAAACCATAGGGAATGATTCATTCCATGCTGAGAACCAGCATGACGAGTATGCCCCGCAAAAAAGGTGGTTGCCATTGGCTTCCTTTCAAGCTAACCCCAACATACAACCCACAAAAATCCAAGCCTCACGCAAGGGAACAACTCAACGTGGGAGGTTCTATTATACAGCTTGGGATTGGGGAACAACTTAGGCACATAGAAAGGTACACATCCCACTTGTTGGTAGTTCTCCCAAGCTTCGCTTTAAAAGAGACCGGCCCATATCGAGACCCACATTTTGAAGACACAACTATTTGAGGATGTGCCCCATTTGGCCATATACATTTCAGCCGTTGTTGGGCTCTCTCCTTCAAGTCCCTTGGAAGACACGTGTTAATTTCGTGGACCGCCCTTGGAATGTAGTCTTGCGGGGGTGAACACAGCAATTTGTGAGAACAATGGGCTTGGAGCAAGTTGAGCCCTCACTTCTCAGTTGCTGAGCGGGTTGGTCACAAAAAACGTCTACCTTCCCTCCAACATGGCATCTGACAACTGGGGACTTCAAGAGGAAACTAATCTTGCAGGTTTCCTCCCACAGTTGCCACGTTAGCGGAAGGCAGAGTAGACTTTTGTTTACCACCCGAAATGATCTTCCCAAAACGCTGGGGAAGCGATCCAGATCTTCGGGGAAGTGAGCCATTTGTTTGGCCAGGAACTACGACGACGCACTGACAACGTGGGGCGTCTTGTTTGTGTTGCAAGCAAACGTAACCCAACGGACAAACAACCAAACGCCAAAGAAACAAGCAAGCAAACAGACAGTAAAGCCAAGCAAAAAAACAATGCAAAAACAACAACAAAGACAGACAAACGCAGACAGGCAAAAGAGCATGCAGGCTGGCAGGCAGGCAAATGGACGGGTAGGCAGAAACAGTCACGCAAGTCAAGCAGTCAATCAGTCAGTCAGTCAGTCAGCCAGTCAGTCAGTCAATCAAGCACAATCAACAAAACCAAGCCGGCCAGCCAGCCAGCCAGCCAATCAATCAATCAATCAATCAATCGATCGAACGAACAAACGAACAAATGAATAAAGGAATAACTAAATGAATAAATAAACAAACAAGCACAATAAACAAACAAATAAACCAGTACATAAACAAAACACACATAAACACATACATATATATATATATATGTATAAAACATCACACAACAAATGGACAACTACATAAATAAAACACATACAACCGCTAACATATCAAATATAGATTGATCAAAACTATGAATCAACCAACCAACCAACCAACCAACCAACCACCCAATGAAATCAGATCTAGTCGAGTCAAGTCAAATCAAACCAAGTCACAAAAAACAACGAACCAACCAATTATATCAAATCTGATCAACTCAACCCAAATCAACTAAATTCAAACTAAATTAATTAATGAAACTGAACAAGTCAGTCAATCAAACAAGTACACCAGCAAGCAAAGGACGGATTGAACGCATCTCCAAGCATCTTGCGGCCGCAGAAGGGCCCTTCTATTGTTGCGTTTGCCGAGCCCCGCGCCGGCGCAGGCAAGTGGTGCAGGTATGCCACATCCCGAGCACAGGCCGGCACCTCGTAGGCGAAGATGGCCGGCCTGCAGTGGGTCTTTTTTTTGAGTACCCTTGCGGCTTCGTTGAACTCATTTTTTCGGTGGAGAAAGCAAGTCTGAACTTGTTGTTTGCCACACCAAAATGGTCATCCCGAAAAGGGAAATGACCAATTGGGGCTCCAAGTGTTGAGAACCCGAGTGGCAAGTGGGTCCTATTTTGACTTCAAAGGGTCTCTGAAATCAACCATGGGTTTGAGTCTACACTAGGGTAGCCGAAAAATGGAACCCTGGACAAGTTTGCCTCTTTTGCTTTGGTCGTTTGGTGTGTGACCGAGTTGCTTGCTTTTTCGTCATTTCAATGTTTGATTGGTATGTCAATCTGATTTGCGAGTCTCTCAGTCTGCCTCACCGTCCTGCGTCTGGCATTTCAGGCGGCGTCCAAGTCATACTGTGGACGGACGAAATCCATTTTGCACCACCTTTCGGAAACGCTCGATTGATGATTGCGCTGCAAATTACCAACAAACAAGGATTTCCCGTGGGAACAAAGTGGTGCAGTTTTTTGTCCATCATCCACTGTAGTTACAAATAGCCATATTCTTCGTGGAAAGCGCCAAAATGGCATCTCTCCCAACGCGAGTTTGGTGGATTCTTCTATCGCAAAGTCGGGTACACAATGGTACCTACTCTGATTGGTTGTGGCAACAGAACAAACTGACGTTCCTTACTTCAGCTTTCCTCCAGTTAGTGAGTGGTTTGCATTCGTTGAGGAGAGGTTTCCATTTACCCTCTACAAAAGCCAGGGCTTCAAACCCCCAAACCAATCCAAACCGCCAAGTAAGGTTTACCGCGGCTTCCCGGATTACTTGGCTGGCAGCGCCACAGCTTTCGCCACAAACACCGACCTTTGCGCAAATTCAGCCTTGGGGGTGATCAAAAGGTCCGAAATACATGGGATGACCATTGATTGGACAACCAGTAAAAAATGATAGTTCAACCACTAAGTGGAACATTTACCCATGGTGAGTTGGGAACCGAAGGGAATATTGATCAACCCCCACTTTTCGATAGAGAGGAGTTCCTGTCGCAGAGGGCTGTGTATGTGTTCTTTTGCCTGGCCTCGCCTTGGCCACTTGAGGATAGTGGTTTACGCAAACATGAAACCCAACAAAAAAGGCGAAAGGCAACATGGGCAAATGAGTCCAGAGATGTGAGATTTTTATTTTTTTTGAAAAGCGAGGCAGGACCGGTGTTCGAGTGCCACGGGTGGCAAACATACAGCCAGGAGCGCATCGGCCAGCAAGCTCAATTCAGCCCCACTATTTGACATCCTTCAAAGTGTAGAGAAAGAGTTCCGGGTGGGTCGTCGTCACGCCCCTTCAACCTACCGCTTTGGGGAGGACTTTGAGAGAGAATGCTGAATGGCCTATGATGACTTGGTTTCCACAGAATCTGCAACTATCATCTGTCACAAACACATTGCGCGACGTGTTAGACCACGTTAGACCATCCCTCAATGAAGCAGTACCTGAAACGTCCAGCAACGCTTTGAGAAGATCGAAGCTGTTTGGCCGGGTCTGAAAAAGATTCTGTCCAGTGGCCTTCATTAGCGGCTTGGATTGAACCGCAAGGAACGACGCATTGGCGCCTTCGGCTTTTTGCCACGTTTTAATGAAACCAAGGCACCCGTGGATGTTCAAATTGAAAAATGCTCCTACTATATAGGGGGGAGAATCATTGTTTTCATCAAGGGTCTTAGAAAGCAAATAAAGCGAGTAGGACCGGGACCATTGTGGCTGAACAAATCTTCCACAGGTATGGGTGGCGTTGCTCAACCCGTGACACGTCACCTGGCCTCCGTGGAACCTCCGTGCGCGACTGGTGCGAAATGGAAAGGCGACTGATCCATAGCGACACGGAACACCGGGTGGCTTTCAGAAGCACCGGGTTACCGGTCGAAGGTAGCGGCCAATCGCTAGTTTTAGGATTTTGCTTGAACCACGCTTGCCAAAGCCTTTTGGTCTCCCGTGTCTGCCTGGAACCGAATTCCCTGAAACAGTCAGTGTAGCAGTGTAGCTCACAGATTTGCAGGATAGGGAAGCATGGCAACTGATGTGTGGGAACCGCAATGTCAGCGAACCGAAATCAGAGCTCGAGGGTAACAGCCAAACACCAATGTCAAGGGCAGGACATCCAAAAGGAATGGCGAATACATCCAGGGTATATTAGGAAATGTGCCACAAACAACTTCAGGCATACACGTGCACCCTTTACTTTTGGACCTGTTCCACGCGTGCACATCTCCTGCACGCTCCAACGTGGAGCCCTCCTTCACGTGGACAGGGCTGCACCACAAAACAGCCCACCAAAAGGACAGGGGATCATACGCTTCCACCTTTTGCGGGCGCACGTGTACGAGGGTAACACAAAAAACGGGTGGGAGGCATACAAGCGCCTAGCGGCCCACGCCGACTCATCACGTAGATTTCCAACATGAATAACGCAATTGGATATTTTAATTTGCGTAATCCCTAGGAACCGGGAGGAGTCACCAAGCAATCGAAATGGAGCTGAATGGTCAAGACAAGTGCGCTCTTGGACAAACAGTTGGTAAGTGGTGATAAGTAAACTGAAGCCAGTGGAAGCTATATTCAAATCAGCTTAAGAAACTTGGTTGGTCTTCACCTGCAACAAGTTACACTACGTACGTATAAGCAGGTTCTGGGGTCATAGTCATTATCCAAAAGCTGAAACAGCTATTTCGGTCGTACGGAGAAACCAAGGCAGGTGACACATAGTTCTAAGGCGCCCAGCATCCGGCATGGCATCGCTGGAGTGCTGCGGGATCCTCTAAAAAGGTGGATGTAACGTAAACGGGCCCCGACAATGTTTGGCTTCCTCTGGGGGGTCCCTTTAAAAGCATATCTGAAAGGGGACTCCCCCAGAAAGCTTGGCTTCTTTCAATTCGGGTTTCTGGCAAAGCCAAAACTCCCAATGATCAAAGCATGGAAGGACGGCTTGGCTAACTTGAACTTTACAAGACACAGGGCACATTTCCGGGTAAAACAAACCAATTTAGGCACCTAAACCAAACAATCCCCACGCAAGGATCCTTCGTGAGGTCACAAACCACTTTTGTGAGAAAAGCTGAACCTAGTGCCTGTCAATGGCTGATGGCCCACCACTGCTGGGAAGGGAAATCGTTAGGCAAACAAAAACGCAACTGGCAACGAATGATCAATTTGGATTGCAGGGCTCCCGAACTCTAAGGCTGCACATATCCCTGCAATTCACGGGCGGGACGATCAAACAAGACTCTCCAGTGACAACCAACCTGATGAACCATATGACGTCAGGGTAGTAAGACTGCAAACAATCTCCCGAGAAAGGATATCTCCACTAGATGATTTTTTACGATCCCTAGACTCAGGTGCTTTAAGAGTCTCGAGGATTTCTTCAAGTCTTCATGCGCGGATCAGCTTGTGTTTTGTTCAACAGGCTGCACGTCACATTGCGCTGACAAAACTGCAAGCTTGGGCTCAAGAGCCGAAAGTTGAGACGTCGATGCAAGATGCCAGCTCAGAAAGCGCCTCGGGGCCATTCCGTCCAATCGGACCATAGCCAAGTAGACTCTGCAGTTTTGGCATTACAGTCATGTCAAGTACGCTGCAGTGTACGTTTATAATCCACCCCAACTTTCTAAAAATATAAAGTCGCCAACAATTACTAAAACTAGAAGAGACCCAACCAATACTCGAGTAATTTCTCCTGCTGACTCCCAAGTAGTATTGCGGAACCCCCGGAAAGGGGAGCCTATCTGGGGACAGGACAGCACCGAAAAGGACCCAAAAGGAAGGAACCGGGGGCGCCGCAATAATGGAAACTGCTTTCCCTCAGGCAGGCAGCGTTTTGCTATTCTGGGGAAGGGATTGTATTACATGTATGTCCATAGCACACATGTGCACATAGTGCCTCTACACGTGGATTAACTCCCTTCAACCAAACTGACCCCAGGACCAGAGTGGCGCAATGGGGTCGCTCGCTGGGCCGCTCTTTTCAGATGCCCCGCAAGGCCTAGCTGTCCGTTGCGGATGGAGTTCCGTTGGCGAGAGCAACTTGCGAATGCCTAGGCTGGGGGGAAATTCGTGGCCGCCTCTGAGGGGTTGGCCAGTTGATGTCTTCGTGTGTTTCCCCGCCTGCCCAAAGTAAATGTACACATCCGGAGCTGTGGAGCAATTCCATGGCTTGCCAACCAAGAACAGTTTGTTGAGGTGGACCATTTCAAGAGATGCCTTGTGTGGCATTGAATAAGATCGACACAGTCGATCCAACTAGGCCGCCACTTGGGTTGAATCACTCCAAGCTTCCTGTAAAGGGCGTACAAACGCCCGTTCTCGGCCGTGCTGCTTGTGGAAATAACTCTTCCTGTGATCTCAAATTCGGCCATGGCCAATACTACTAGACTGTTACCAGGGCGGGGATTTGCCCGTTATCACAGAAAGTGGCCCCAAGCTCAAATTTCCACAACCATGTTCTGGCCTTAGCACCAAAGCCTGAATTAATCTGTCGGAGCCGCTCGGGGTTGATTGCTACACGTTCCCCTTTGGGGACACCCAGCCTTTCAAGGGGTCTGGGAGATTCCAGACCATGGCTATCATGATTGTCTCTGTCACAAAAGTCAAGCACAACGTCTCATGTAATCTCCGCCCATCACCGAGGGCACATGTTTTGCTGCATGTGCTTCTGAGGTATGGTGTATGCCAATTCAAATATTGCAAGCTAAAAATGGAAACTCGACATCACTTCAACCGTTGGGTTCAGTTGATTTACTTGGGCGATATGTTCGAGTTGGCATCCACGATATTAGTCATGTTTCGCCCCAAACTCAGTTGCCCAAAGGACCTGGAAATAAAAGGTTCACCTTTCGGGATTATGACTAAAACATAGACCGAAATCGGAAAACCCCAAGGTCAGATCCCCTCGATGTGCTTTTTGGACGCGGTTGTTCTCAACCCCAGGGCTCCGACTTTCTGAGAGCCCTTTGCTCTGCCTAACGAAGTCGCTCAGACGCTCCCGAACCGAGAATCGGGGACTTGGAAGTCCCGAAATTCGGGACGCACCTCTTGTCATTTCGTTCACAAACTCCAAAAAGACAGCTAGCTCGCTTAAGGCTTAAGAGCCCCTGGAAGCAATACAATCAGCTAAAAACTCCCCTTAAAACCCGATATGCTTAAGCAAATGGAAGCTACATGTTGGCTTCCGCATATGGAGAACTTGCCCATCAAGGCTCGGAGCGAAGCGACTCTAAGCTGATGGCTTGGACAAGGACCTGCGATGTCCACTACCAAGGATGCTCTCCAGACAATGTCCAAGCTATATAGCTGCCAATTGTGATTCCCAAATCAGAACCAATGATCTGGGTGAATTACACAGATTCACCAACCTGAAATGAGGAAAACATGAGTGGAATCTTCATTTGCAGCTGAAGTTGCTGAATCAATGCGCATTGATCCGTCTCGGACAGTTCTGGGACTGGTCATTTTCAGAACCTTGAGGGTTGCCCACAAAATTGGTTGAAGTTCTTTCCGGATCGCTTCTCAAGGGCATGAATCAAGAGTCAGCTGTGGAAGTGGCAACTCCAGTGTACAGCGGCTGGTTCTACTCATTCTCCGAATTCAGGTCTAGCCTAATTCTTCGCGCACTCGATCTTCAAAACACGTTCTCAATCGAAAACTCCGTGCTCTGTCTTTCTCTCTGTGCGCTGCCGTTAACGGCAGTTTTCGCCTGGCTTGGCTCTACGTGGGCAAACAACCCGAGGCCGCATGGCCCTTCCTAAAAACCGACGGCTGGCTGCGGCGCGCAAACTGAAAATCGCCGACGGCGTGCCGACCGCAAACCGCAGATCCCAGGCCGTCAGCGCTTGCCCTTGCGCAGAGTACCTCACTGCCAGAGCTCAGACCGGTTAGGTGCCCGAAGCCAACATGAAACTCAGCATGCCTGCTTTGGTTGGAAGAAAATCAGATGGAACCCAGCAACTGCAACCCAAGTGGCACCCAATGTTTCTTTTCCTTTGACTTGGGATCGTTTCTTTGAAGCTTTGTATTCATTTCAGGTTGGCTTGAAGGAAACCAAACAACAAATCGAAGCCATTTTGGGTGTTCCCCTTGACATTTACCCGTTTAGCACCCAGAACCAGCCAAGCCAGCCACGCGCAGGTGGCACTGCCCACGCCCGCGCCTCTGCCACCGAAGCCCAAATGGCCATCTACCTGAGGTTCTCGAAGGTCGTATGGCGTATAGGGGTGAATTGAAATGCATCTACGGGTCTACAATATAGGAGGCATATCTCCCAGGTGAGCCACCGTCATGCTTGCCTCAATAGGACTCCTTATCACAGCTGGCTAAAAAGCCCTAAGGGCGTGATGACCATCCCTACCAAAACCAAGCCAAAGGGTGTGTTGAACATGTAATAAGGGTTCTATGATCATACCGTCGTTTTGTTTTCTGATTTGAAGTACCCCACAACCTCATTCCAGTTACTTCGGCTCTATAAGTTGATTTCTAGCCAAGGTACCAACCCCATTCGCATGTTAAAAGCTCCCTAGAAAGAGTGACCAACGTAGCTCTTACCCGGGGCCACGACCAAACATGGACCTAGCCCAAGCCGCCAGCGTGGCAAAGTCTAAGGCGAGGTTGGTTGCAACTGATGGATCATGAACCTGGACTCCCAAAAGGCCCGTTTCTCTGCCTTTGGCCCATTGAACATGGATATACAGGCAGGAAGTCATGTTGAACGGAAAGCGTGAACTCCGAATGAGTTGCTTGAATGGAAGTGTGAGCCTTTCGGCAAGATCCATAATTTTTTAATCCATTGATCGGCGGTCTAGCTCCCTCGCGCGAAGACAAGATGGTTATCCTTATCCCCTAACAATTTCATGTTGTTGTTTTACAAGATCCCAGCATCCCCAATCCCAAATTGGAGTAGGCCACTTCTAAATCAATACTAAAGCAACAATTTCTGCCACCAACCTCTCCTCCAGTCGTATTAGGGGAGCCTCTGCCCTCAGTCAGCAAGCGCAAATGTAAAAAAAAACACGGGAATTGGCCACCAAATCTGGACAGGGAGCCCTGGTACTAATAAAACGACGATCCCTTCTTCCCAAAAGGGGAGCCCTCTGGGAGGGGTGGCACACGTACACCTATAGCAAGCCTGGTACCAGGCTCCTTAGGCAAATAAATCGACGCCGCCAGCATCCCCATGGCACGTATTGTTCTTGCCCGGGGATGCTGGGGATGTAAGGGGATTTTGTAAGTGACTGGTAGCTAAGGGGGATTCACAGTTGTCGTTTCGCTGGATATGAAGGAGTTTCTGGGCACCGTCTAGTCTGGTTGACACCTGTTTCCAAGACCGGCCTCCATGCCGCGGTTACTTTCCCCAATCAAAGACTGGGCAGACAATGGCTGGTATTTCGTCACTATAGGAGACGTTGGGCTGGGTTTGTTGCCTATAATGAATCCAACAGCGGTATCGAGACACGCTTGAGAAAACTGAGTGATGTTTAGCACTAAGGGGGAGGCGGCACTGAAATGTCTTTCAAGCGGATTTGTCAACTTAGTTGGGGAGACGCCTTTTCTTGTCGGGAGGAGCGGATTTCTTGTTCTGAGGGGCCCCGACTCTTCAAACGCATTGGCATCTCTCCACGGTGGCAGAATGTTATTCCTTGGGAAAAGGACACCTGAGTCACAATCAAAACCCGATATTAAACAGGTCTACCCAGAACCATGTTAAGAATTGCAAAGGCAGATATTCGCACCCAATTGTGGCGGGGATTGTCCCTTGCCCTCCAATTACCCGGGTTTGATTGTGACTCACCTTTTGCGTTGCCCGCTTTTGAAGGGAAGCCAAAAAAGCACAGACGGCCAAGTGTCAGGACCAAGGCTAGCATGAGATGCAAATGTTTGGCGCGGTTTGCGCATCTTTGGGTGACTCCGAACCCGCCAAACGGAATGGCGGGTTCGGAGTTCCGGTATATTGGTGTGCGGATCCAAATTCCAAACCTAGAGTTGCGCAGATTCTAGTCATTGCTTGCCACTTTGGGTACCGTTGTTGGAGCCACAGGGGCTGCGGATTGGACAGTGTCAGAAAGCTTGTTAGATGTGGCCATGATCAATCAAGTCTCCCATCCCAACCAAAAGTAGCTATGACGTTCAACCCCCCCTTTAACGAACTCCATAGGCAAACACCGAATAACCCCTATGGCTTTAAATTGTAATGGTGGTCAGGAAACCCCAGGACGTCCCTTGCCCCCGATACATCCCAGTCACTGACCGCGACATGGAAAAGTTGCCGTAGCCGCCCGACCTCATCCGAATCAACTGAGCGCTTTCAGGCCGCGGACCCCCAACCCCCGTCAGAACTCTTTTGGTTAAGTGTCAAAATTGGTGCACTTAGATGGCTGAGCAGTTAGTAACTCTTGTTGCAACCCAAAGTCCCTACCCAGGGCCTAAGTACAGTAGAGGAATCCTCAATGGTTGCTGAGTTTCCACTTGCCTGTTGACCATCTGAGTGACTCGGCAATGAAGCAAATCACAGCAAAGTCGAACAATCAGGACAGGAAGCTACAAACAAGCCCAGCAGCAAGACCCAATGGCGCATGGCCTCTCTGGGCATTGTGTTTGTCATTTCCTGGGATGAAAGTGCAAGAAAGGCAACCTTTCCAGGGAAACTTCTCCCGACCAAACTTCTGCACATGTGTGCAACAACCGCCAAACGGCGCTTTTTAGAATGAAACACCCTTTCCTCAACGAAACGTTCTTTATACATGTCTACCAGCTGCAACATGCACCAACACCCATCCACCAGCATAAAATTGAAATACCTTGAGCACCTGCACGGCACAAGGCTCACACAAGAAAAGGAGCCCAAAGGCAAAGCGCGAAACTGCAGCATACACCCCGAATAGCTGAAGCGATAGGCGACCCACGCAACAACTGGAAGGCACCTGCGTGAATTCCCACCAACCATCCATGTGGGGAAACCTTTACTTTCTGAACCCTGGTATGAAGGCCTGGTAGAAAGCCCTGGTATGAAAGCATGCATAAAGACCTTGATAAGCCGGCTGAAAAGGCTGTTCCACTTGCCCCCTGGCAGGGTAAACCAACAGCCCAATGGACTCCCGGGATCCGAAGAGAAGCCGAACTCCGAGCGACTCTTCGGTGGAGGACGTCCGCATGTTCTGCGGGTTCTTGGGCCTGGTCTGGGGCGGCAGCCAAATCCAACTTGTGTGTGTGTCTGGGTGGAGAAGTCTATGTTCTTGATGTATGATGGCCTATGTGTATGCCAAACCCGCCAACTAGCATGTCAGCCGCACATCCAGCCGTTCAATTGCAGCGGCAAACACTGCTTTCAGGCCAAGTGGGACACTACCAGCTTTCACAAGATTTCAAGACTAACCCACTGTGCGGCTTTTCACCCTGTGGCAAGGGGGCGAGGTCAATGTACAATGGTCCAGTGAGTCCAGTGGTGACAGGCGCTGCACAAACTATTGTCCACCAACATTGAACTTGGTATCCGGATATATGTTCCTTTGTGTTGCTGCGTGCCAAAAATCCGGCGAAACACGGTGTGCCGCGCATCTGGACTTTGCCCGCGGTGGGTGGCCCTGCGACTGGGGGATGCGATGCGGGCACAGTTGCACGTGGTCACCTGCGGGTGGTCGTTCCCCCCCTGGGCCACCTGTCCAGCATCCTCAGCATTCTAGCATTCTAACATTCTAGCATCTTCAGCATTACCATGTGACACTTCCAAACTGATGGTTGCAAACAAAAACCGCACACATCCCTAGCCGAAGGCAAACCAACGATCCCTACTCAAGTCGCGCACAAGGAAAGATAGAAAACAAAAGGAAAACAAGCAGTGCCAGTGGGACAAAAACCTTGGTCGCATCTGTAGCACCCCGATCCATCACTTCTGCGGCGGACATGTCCAAAAACAACGAGAAAGTGTCAAAAAGCAACAAGCTGCACACACACCCAGCTGAGAAAGATAAATTGAACAAACGCAAATACCAAGGGCCCCTACTCAAGACAAGAAGCATCAACAGGGCAGAGCCTGATTGCATCAGCCCATCACATCTGCGGACCTGTGCCCACAAATAACGAGGAAGTTGCGCAGCAGTGATCTTTGCAAAGAAGAAACAGTGTAGCCAAAAAAAAAGAAGCAAGCAGCGTCAGTAGAGCAGAGCTTCATTGCATCAGCAGCACCTCTGTCCATCAAACACAGCTTCTTGACTGCTTGCATTACTTCAAGCGCTGCGCGCGTGAAAACGAATTACCCACGCACCCGTCTCTGCTTCTTGCACGCAGCCGCGCGCCACAACTTCCTACTGCTGTCCTGCGGCAAAGAGACATCAACGAGGTCAAACGAAAGCGCCTTTCCCAAATCGGGCTTCCTGCGCGCACCTGCACTGTACCTGTGATACGCACGTAAGTAAGAAATGAATCCAAATCCATAGATTCAATCAATTGTATTGGACTCTGGCGTACTAAATTTCTGAGCAGCACTCGCACACCCCTTTGCAAACAAATGGGCGCCCAGTGCACGGTGACCGAATTTGCTCCAAGAGGCTGCAGGCCTGAAGCTAAGTGGTAGCTTGAAGTGATATTTAGCCTCTCTGTGTACCCCGAAGTGCCTGCTTGAAGCGTTTCAACGAATCGCCGAATATACAAACAACATGCCGGGGCAGCGGGATCACCGGGCCGTTGTCGTTCATGCCGACGGCCTCTCTGAAGGTGCCAGACACGCCTGACACACTTTGGGCTTCCCTCCCCATCCCGATGGCCGGGGTAGAGCCGGAGGGAAAGAACTGTGAATATGCTGTATATATATATATATAGGGGGAATCATGTGTATATATATATGTATATGTATTAGCGTATACACTAGAATAAAATCATATGTATATATATATATATATGCAAAGGTACATAGAATATATACAATATGCATGTCAAGTTTCCGTTCTAAATTCATCAGAATGACCCCTTCTAGTCAAAGGAGTCCAGTACCACAATCTCCCACCCAAGGGAAACCGCCCTGGCTAATGGACCAGCGTAAGCGGGTTGTCATCCTACCAGCAGGTCAACCTACTGCATTTCACACAGCAAAACTTGACTTTTTCCCGGGTCCAGACCCTTTGCTCTCCCTGAGGAAAGCATAGGATGTTGCAAGCAAGAAGCGACCTAGTGAAATCCTGCACTGCCCAGTAACGAGTCGGACCCCCCAAAAATGATTGCGGAAGAATATGCTCCTGTGCCCCAATCTTGGTTGCAACAAAAAAGGTGAGCACACATTTCAAATCCACAGCCTTACAATGAATCGCCCTCAACATCATGGATGAAGGCATATGTCTCAAACATACACCACGACAACACCCCTGGCGCATGCAAACAACAATTGTGAAATGCAAAAAGTACAGGGACCTCTCCCAGTGTCCACATTCTTCCCTTGCAACCCTTTTGCAACCATGCCAAGGGGCTTTGCCCATTCCGATCTTGTGCCCCCATCCGTTCATTCTTTTCCACACAGGTACACCTGTTGTTGAGGGAGTCGACCCAAAATCATGTGAACGATTGTTCGTACAAGAGGGCGCTCCAGTTCTTCCCGGCTGGGAATGTCGTGTACTAACCTTCATCTAGGTTTTGATCGTGGCTCAACACTCCTGCCAGGTTGGCCAAGGACAAACCGACAAACCACCGACGAACCACGATTGGGGAGAATACTCCCAAAACGGGGACCCATAATATAGTTGCCATCCTTTCAACAACGGGGCTCCAGGTTTAATTGTACGGGCCCGGTTGGTTTGGCACCCACCCGCTCAGGCACGTACTGTGTCAGATTCAACATCTTTCAAGTGGAAACCGGGCAAGCGGGTTTACTTGAACAATATATGTTTGGGGAAAACAACACTGTTTTTTTTTTTTTATATAAAGTACGCCCGGCATGCATTGGTAACCTATCTGAAGTCCATCCTTAGACGCTTGGCAACGTACCCACAATTCGAACGGGCAGAGTGAACCTTTGCCAAACACGAACATGCAGAGGGCATACCTCCAGTGGGAGTTTCAGAATTGGGGCGGGCTCATTTCCAATGCTTCGCTTCCACTGGCTTTCCCGAGCCGAATCTGTTCAGGAAAAAAGCCGGACAACGAAGGAGTCGCCCGATCACGCGACCGGCCTCGGGCGGCTCCGGAGCTGGAGCTCAGGCGATCTCTGCCCAGTTCCAGGCGGCTCATCTCGTACCTCGGCTCGCGGGGGACACCCGTCCCCTTGGATCCTTTGGGTCCCGAAGAGTGACCGCCTGTGACAAGCCATCTGACCACCTCTGACCACCCAAAAAAAGGAAGAGAGAAGAAAACCAGAAAGCAAACCATGCTGTCGCCAACAAAGAAGACGAATCTGCCTCAAAAGGACCCAACTGGCTTAGGCGCTTGATGTTTTTCCATGCGCTGGCCACGTCGACTTTGGTCTCCTTGGCGGTGCCCTCCAGGTACGGAGACCCGCAGTCCGAAGGCCCACTCTGAGACTCCTCATAGGCCATCTCCGACCTGCGCCAGAAAAAAAAATAAAAAATGAAAAAAAACTGAGTCACAACCAAAACGTAGTAGCAAAATGGTCTACCCAGAACCATGTCAAGAATTACCAGGGCCGCATTTTTCTGGTTGGGACTGTCCCTTACTACACGGGTTCTCTACGGGATGCAAAAAGAGGTGGAAAGAGAAGAACAGGCCCCGGATGGACACTCTGATTTTGGTTTCCCTGTCTGTGGGTAAACACTAGCCAAAGAACCATGCCTCAGACGTGTCACGCTCCTACTCTTCATCCGATTCAGGCAGTGCGCGTACCGGAACTCTCAACTTCCCCCCCAACAGAAGACACAATCCTCAATCCAGCCCTACTTTTTCGTAAGCTCCAAAGCCCGAACCCCCAAACCCCAAATCCACACCCACCCCCCGCCACAAAACGTCAAAGCCCCAAGCAGCCCCAAGCAGCGCCAAGCACCCCGAGCACCGGAAGCCGCCCAGCCCCAAATCCACCCCCATTCGCTGAAGTCCCTGGACCAAATACATATATATATATAATATATATATATATATATGTCCAGTTGTGGTATATTCCTTTTTGAAGCCAACAAAGGAAACAACACCTCCATTACCAGCTTAAATGGACCCTTCCAAAACGTCAGAAACGTCATAAACTCATTTGCTTAAGCCAGGGGAAAAAAACAACACATGCTCACTAGTGGTAGATTCCCTTGAAAGCCAACAGGGGAACAACAAGTCATATTCGTTTCAGCAAATGGAAGCCAAAAAATGAAAACCATCGGCCTTGGCTCCTCGCAGGAGTCGCTGCCAGAGGGCTGGCTGCTATTCAGGCGATCCGAGGCTGTACTCAGCTCGCTCATGGGAGAAGCCAGGTGCCACGGCCTGACTCCAAGGAAAAACTAACCGAAGGTGGCTTCAAATCGGGGAAAACCATGGGATTCCCAGGGAAAATCAGGGAGAACCAGGGGAAGCCTAAAGGAAGATCAGGAACCAAAAGTTTGCGTCAGTCACTTGTGCATTGTGATAGAAATACACGGTGACGGCGGGTGGGGTGGGGCGGGGTGGACATGATCAGAGAAATGCAGGGTGACGCAGGGGTGGGGTGGGGTGGGGATGATAACGTATGTCAGTCAGTTGCACACATGGTCAGAGAAATACAAGGTGACGGAGCGGGAGGTGGCTTGTCAAACGTAGTTTTGAACGGGGGTAGTTTTGGAAGTGCGAAGTTTCTGAAGCGACGAATGGAAAGCGACCGTGACTGCGCCTTTTGACCCGCAAAAGCAGGCAGCGTATACGGAAATCAGTTCACTTGCTTGCGGAAGCAAAAACAAAGGCCATATATAAACCCTGGGGGGTAAAAGGCTTTTAAAACAAAGGACTTTGCATGAACATCCTTTGTTTGACTCGCTGGGGGGTGGGGGCCTGGGTAGAACTCAAACTTTACATCGTCAGCAGCAAGCCTTTTCCACACAAAGCTAGACTTGCGAACGCCTCAACGTTAGAGCAGCATATTTCTGCTTCATCAAAGGAACAATCACGGTCTTCCCGAACATCCATTCTGCAGGACCTTTTTAGCTGCCAAATTTCACGGCGTCTCACGGTCTTTCACTGCAAAAGAAAAAGGCGTTCACGGTGTTTTCACGGTATTTTCACGCTTTTCCCTTGTCGATGTCCCATTGCTAAGTCCATGAGAAATGTTTCGAGAAATCCCTACATGGTTTTCTCGAGGCTTTGGAAAGCTAACGTTTCAGCCACAAGCACTACAAACCCATGTGGCTACTAATGCGGCAACAAAAAACCGGTCGACCCATGTAAAAGCGTCCGGCTCTCCACATTTCATGGCCGCTTCCTAAAGGCCTTTCTTTTTAAGACCCCCGGGGCGCACCGGCGCTGGCTGGCGGTGCCGGTGCCAGCGCCGGTGCCGGCACTTGGTGCCGGACACAAAAAAAGGCATTGTGGATTTTAGGGGGTCATGCCCTCGTTCCCTGCTGAGCACCAGGATAACAATGGTGCTGCCAGAACCAGGAGTCATGATCACCTTGAAAAACTGAAACACCAACATGCAAAAGTAAGAAGGCACCGCACGCAAATGTTACACAGAGTTCCAAAAGTCTTTCCCTGCGTCACACTGGTGCTTCAAGGGCAGCTTCAGGTGTGGGATGCCTTCACTGGCAGAGGCTTGTCATCTGGACCGAAGCCTTCGATTCGTTGCGAAAGCCCGGACTCTGATTCAACGATTCGAGTTGCATAAACATAATTTAGAGTTTGTATGCCTCACTACACACATGTATCATGGCCAGTTGCCATCTTCCTCAGCATTTGGTCACCCATGTTTGACCCACAGCCTCCTGTTCTTTATGATTTGCCCTGGTGAGATTTATCACTGCTGGAAGTACGTTTACTTTTTCCAGGGACTGGAGGCAAATGAAGGGCCAAAGTACCGAAAAGAAAACTTGGCTTGAGCCGCCAAGGGGCGAGGACCCCCGGCTGCCCCCGCGGCTCGAGGCCGCTCGGCCCGCCACAGAGCCGCCTGCCAACGGATACCGAAGGCCCCTCTGCTATTTCCTTGCTGGTGCTCAGCAGGGAAGTAGGAATTGAATGAACCAGGGGATTCCCGAATAAAGGAAACAGTTGGATGGTTTGTAGGGGTCATTCCATTTCTCACTCCCTGCCTATCGCACCAGCAAGTTTTGCTGCCCTGTGTTTTTTTCCAGTTTTGCCCCTGGAAGCTATGGGATCGATAGGCCCAAATAGGCATTTGGGTGGTGTGCGGGGGGCAGCTTTCAGGGGGATGGGGGATCTCTCCCGGGCTTACTTTGACTTTTTCAGGTTTGCTCTCATCATTGTTGTCAGGTGTTGTTGCCTTCATTGGTGTGTTTGTGTGTTTTCTTTCAAGGCCGTGTTCTTATTTCTTGCTGATTCGGGGGGGTGTTGAAGCTGGGTTTGGTTCCTTGTCTACATGGCCTTTTCAGGGAGATGCGCTGTTGCTGTTTCTTTGGCTCGGGCTTCCTGGAAGGGAGAAGGGCCTAAGGGGTGAGGCAAACTCCCCTCGAGGTAGCATTTTCCAAAGTTCATAATATGGATCATGGCAACAGTTAACAGTTAGCCGGGAAAAATGGCGCCCAAACGCGACATTCAAGCACCCCCAAAACGCGTGAGCTGACGCCTTTCAGCAACAGCTCGTGCCTCATGGCACTGCCAAATCTCACGTAACGCCACCCGGCTGTCAAGACAGGAGTGTCCACACAGGTGAGGTGAACAAATCGCGTTGTTGTTTTTGTTACGCATGCGGCGGTGTGTCACACACATGTGTCACTTGTCAAACTGTGCCCAGTACACATTTAGACATGCGAAAGGCGGTGAGTCTCCCTGGTATTTGTGGCTGATTTTGGCACCGGATGCGATTCCCAACATCACCAGAAACAAGTGCCGATCTTGACAAACCTCCAGGGGGTCATTGCACTTCCTACAAAAAATCTCCCAAATTAGCCGCCAAGTTGGTAAAGCCTTCCAATTGCCATGATGGCTTGAGCCTTCTCGGAAAAATGGACAAGCAACATAAGCCTTAAGTCGCCAAACTGGGCCTGCTTTTTGTTGAGAGGAGCCGGAGCCAGTTTGGGGGGTCCAAATCCCAAAAAATGGGCACCCTCGCATGAATCTGAATGGCAGAGTGGCCTCACCACTTCCAACCCTTGCCGCCAAGAAGGGGCCCGAACTCCCTTTGTTACACACACCCCAAATTTCCGCCCCCGGCGCGCGAGTCACTCGCGCGCGCGCGCGATTGCTGGCCTCGCTGGGGGGTCTGGGAGGGCCCGGTGCCGGAGCCCCGCGCGGAGTTCACCGCCGTGGAGGCGGTGCCGCAGGAGCCGCCAGGGGAGGCGGTGGAGCCGCCCGGGCCGCCTGCGAGAAATGGAACGCAAGGGTTGAGGCGGGGAATTCGAAAATGGAGTTGGGTGTGGAGTTGAGTTGGGGAGAGGTGGGGGGTGAGGTTGGAGTTGGGGTGGGGAAGTGGGGTTGGGGGCAAAGTTGGGTGGGAAGTGGGAGAGTGGAAAATGCAAGGACCAAAAGGAGGTTGCTTAAATGGGCGTAAAAACCATGGGGAAGGTCAGCCTCCAAACACTAAAAGCCCAAGCTGGGTGGTGGGTGAGCCCAGGAACGAAAAGAAATTCGGCCATTCGTCCAAGGGCGGACTTGATTGCTGGATGAAATCCAGAGCAAGTAGCAATTCGGGAAATGCAACGATCGTGGGCGACAGTGCCAGCGTGCCAGCGTGCCATCGTGCCTTCACTCCCAAAAGCAAACGACAAGGGGCCCTTTAGTGCTCAGAGCGTGCTTGGCACCCTTGACTTTGTCTGCCACGCTGCGAGAGAGAGAGAGAGGAACAACCAAAACACAAAATAAAAAGCAGAAGCGTCATAGTTCGTCTCGGCCACCTGTTACTACATTCTCAATTGGACTTCTGACACAACTTTCGCTGGTCGGGACCCGATCGTCAAGTCCACCCTGCACCCCTGAACTGAAGTCCCAGGCTCGCCCATGCCATGCGACGCCTCCCAAAGGCTCAAAGGCCCCTGCAAACATCCCCAACGCATCCCCAAGTCATGCCTAACTTCTCCACTCCTTAGCGATTCCTGTATAAAGGGAATCCAGTTGGAAAGACTTCTTAACAAGGAAAATGGCGATCCGCCCAGACCCGAAGTGGCGATGGGACATAAGGAAGCCCACAAAAACCCTTCGGGGCTCGATTCGATTCGATTTTGGCTATGTTCCAATTTGTTTTTAGCTTCAACCGTTTCAGAACTTCCAGAACACCCGCGTCCGCCCCGGTCCGACCGGTCGAGGTCCGCCTGGCCGCAGGTCGAGGGACTTCAGAAAGGGCGACGGCCCTTGCCCCAGACGCGAAGCTCCGGAAGCCCCCGTCGGGGAGCCAGCGCCTCAGCCAAAACATGGCCCCAAAAGGGACGTCGATCTCGAAGAGCCAAGAAAAACGAATCCCTCATACAACCCTCATGAAACTTAAGTTAAGTTAGAACCATTGAACAACCCATGAAACTTAGATGAAACTTAGATTTGGTTCAAACCATGGTTGGAGATGAGATAAAAAGGGGGGGGTGGTTCGTGTCAACAAATCTGCTTGGGCGAGACTCAGCGACTTCAAGTCGATCCGATTGCAGGTTTTTAGTCCTTTCCATTTACCAGGGCAACCCATTTTGGGTATCTATGTTTGACGTCAAATGGCTTGTTTCGTCTTCGTGCCTGTTGGAAACTTAGTCCAATTCATTCCACGATGTCAGCGGCCACGAGGGCCAATTGGATCCGTCCTACGGCTCTCCAAAGAAAATCCGATCTGCCCGCAGAAAACGCGGTGCCAAGGGCAACTTCATAAGCCACGAGTCACGCAGACCATGGGCAAAGTTGAAATTTCCTTGGGACAGTTTGCAGGTGATTTCCTCTGGCACGGAAAGTGGACAGCTAAAGGGGTGGCAGCTATATTGCCCACCACAAGGTCGAATTATGACTCTCCCGCCTTAAAGTCAGGGTGTTGTCCCAAGCATCTTAGGTGAAGCACAAACCCTTTGTGAGGTCGCAAGGGCCTGACCGGAACCCCGAGCAAGTGAACAGCCCCCCGCCTGTTGAGGAGGCAGAGGAGAAGGTGCCAGTGGCCTCGCGATGACGAAAACATAGACGGCAAGTCAACACTCGTTGTGCCCTTCACGTGTTTTCAACCCTCCACGCTTTTATTTGGAGGCCAGTACGTTACCGGAAAAGAAGGGGGGCTGTGTTTTTGCAAGCAAGATGCCTTTCAAGCTTTTTTTAGAGATTATACAGATATCGTGGTTGCTTGAAAGCAGACACAGGAAGACACCGTGTTTGGCTGAGTACTTCTTGGGCATGCTTCGAAAGCTGCTAGACAGAAACTACCACGAGAACAAGTACATGCCGGACATATGACCAACACATGATACGCAGGTGAACACGCAAATTACATGAGACGTCAGTATGTGTGTTAGGTACATGTTTCAACTCAAACAGGCGCAGGCTATATAGACATCTACAAAACCAACAAGATCGCAGACAGCTCCCTTGGGCCTACCCCAAGGCCGACATACAAACTCAAACATCGGGTTGGGCCTCCCCACAACCTACTCCCCTGCAGCCCCCAAGCCAAAAACCTGCCAGAAAAGTCGCTTTCCTTGTTGATTAGTATTTGCTTAGTATTTGCAGTCCCCTCAAGTTTTCCCAAAAATAGTGCTTCCCAAAAAATATAAATGTGTTTCGCTAAAGCTTGTTCCAAATGACAAGGTTTTGAAGCTCACACGACACCCCCCCTTGGAGGCCAGCTGCCCCTCAGTAACTGAAAACCCGCAAAACAAAAAGCTGCTGTTGCCATTGAAGGATCTGTGCAAACCTTGTCGACCTTGAAGGACATGGGGGGGCGGCCTTACTCAAAACCATTAACTGTTGGCTCCAACCCCCCCCCCCCCGGCCGGAGACCCTCCTCCCTCCCCTCCTCCTCCCTCCCCTCCCCCCCCGGGCCCAGAGCCTGTGCCCCGCTAGCTCCGCTGAGGCTGAGGTCCTGTAACGCCCGCACGAGAGCAACAAAATCACAGAAGGTGACGTTCCTGACCATGGGCCATTGGGGAGGGTTGTCAACACTGGACCACATGTATGTGTATAAATATAGAAAAATATATATGTTCATATATTATAAATAATTATAAATACATGCAGAGAGAGAGAGAGATACATATTGTATATACAGCGAGAGAGAGAGAGAGAGGGAGAGAGGATGGCTCAATAACATCCGCATTAAGTCGGGTAGTAAAACCTCCGTCTAGAATGGTCACCGGAAATCGACTTTGCGCATGAGGTTTGATCTGCGTTTCAACCACGAAATCCAAGAAATGACGACTGGATTACCTCCAGGTCTTCCATTTGCTTAAGTTCCATGGAAGAAGTGATAGATTCCAGTAGTGATCGATTCCCTTTAAAACCAACACGGGAAAACACAAATATAGTCTTATGCAAATGGAAGAGGTGGCTGCAACCAACATAGTCCCTCTGAAACAAAACCATGCGCCTTCCCTCCTCAAAGGTGAACCAGCCAGAGACCCAGCTCAGAGACGAATCGTGGCTAGCAACTCGTGACAAGAAAGCAATGCTGTTCTCTGGGCCAAGAGTAGCCTCACGGCTCCAGCTCGATATGATTCGCACACAGATTTGTCGTTCGTCTTCGCGCCTCCTTTGTTCTCTTGCGCTCCTCTGCCTGGCTGAGAAATGGCCGGAGGGGGGAAATTCAAAGAGATCTTGCAGGGAGGGGACCCGCACTCCTCGCAGGGAACGCCAAAGCATCAATATCACTGTCGGTCAAAAAGGAACCGGGACACCAACATGGGTTGCCTTGGTAAATGGAAAAGTAGACAAAATCCTGGGGTCTCCTGGTGGTTAATTTTGACACATACCCAGTTGAAATATAGTGGTCTCATTTTGCAAAACCCTGCAGGTTGCTCGGGATTCCCGAAGTTGCGACTGCCTTGAGAATGGTCGACCTTCATGTAGCCTTTCCGAAATCACGGGAGGCCTAATCAGAATCTGTAATCCGCTCAATCCTTGTTCTATTGGTAAACTTCCTAACTAATTCGAACTCCTCGCTGCAATTTGTGGGTCACAACGCCATGCTGGAGCATGGAAAATCCATGCAGTCCAGAATCCGCAATCCGCAAGTCGCATATTCTGTTTCGTAAATCGCAATCCGCAAATCATTAGGGATTAGATTTGAACAAGCTAATTCATCATGGTCTGTGAGTCTTGCTTGCCCCACCAATTATTCCCTTCGTGATATCTTGCAACGCCTGCTGTGTCACGGAAGAACCGAAATCCTGCTGAAGAACAGACATCCTGCTGCGTAACTAATACGGCAGTAAGCAAAAACAGCCCGAGCCATGGTCCCCAGCACAATCCGCGTTGACTCGTAACGACTCGGCGGGGTTGAGAGCCGGCAATCGGGGTCTCTGAAGTTCTGATTCGCTTCCTACAACGAAACTTATTCTGGCCGGCTCTGTTTGTCGGGAATGTCCTTACTGTTGGTTCAGCTTTGACTCACTATTGAGGGTCCATGTTGGTTTACAGATTTGGCCGGCCAACATGCTGAACCCCCCTTGTAGGTTTCCTTCGATTGGAGGAGGCTGGACCCTCCATTCGAAAGCTTAGAAGGGTGAAAGAACGGAAGAAACAGCATCGGCATCCTGCCATTTGCTTCAGCCCCCTGGAAAAATATATATATATATATATATGTCCAGTAGTGATAGATTCCCTTTCAAATCAACAGTTGAACATAACACATATGCTTAAGCAAACGGCATCGGCATCTGGCTATTTGCCTGGTTCAAGCCCTTGAAGAACTTCTGGGACATCTTCTCCACGTCTGGACGATAGCTCTCTGCCTCATTTTCGCCCCGGCGCAGTGCACAAAATGGGTATGTAAGTATCAGTCTCCACTGTACTTGGTTGCTGTTGACCCCCCTGCAAAAAGTTTAACTTTTTGGGGGTTTAGTGGAAAACCCCTTGATTTCCCAAAAAGTTAAAGTCTAAAGATCCAACCCAATTGCAGTCAAGAGTAGCTCTTGTAAATCGTTGCCGCTCGGCTATCAATTTGACGCCCTAAAGGAAACAACAAACCCAAACAAGGCACCTACTGGCCAGTGATTCCAGCTATATGTTACTATTGGTGGGTAACCTGGAGAAATAATCATGCAAAGTCAAGGAGTAAAATACCTGGCTAGAGCTGGAAGCACCGGGAGAGATTTAACATGGTTTAAACAAGGGTGTGGCCGCTCAAACCACTGGGGCTTATACGGGCTTATACGGGTTTGGACTACGGGTTTGGACGGTTGGTTCTGCCAGAAAAACAACATATATTATTATTATTACTATTATTATTATTATTAGTAGTACTAATATATATATATATAGGCCTTACTACAATCCTTACTAGATCTTGAAACCACGTAACACCCTCAGAAATGGCTTGGGGTGTGTCCCGGTGCTAAAAACCAAAAGGTCACCCGCGGAATCGGCGGCGGGATCCGATTTGGGAAGGATGTGCTAGGTACAACTCGGTTTTTCTCGGGTGGAAAAAGGGGCACCCTATGTTTTTGTTTCTTGGGCCCTGGTGTTGATCCTGTGTAAAACCTGGTGTGAACCAAAAAGAAGGGGTCGTTTCCTTTTGGGGGAACTGAAGGACGTCTTCCAGATTCAGCCAAAGGTTTCTTTAGTGGGTCAAATCCAGTGGAATCTGTTTCAAACTATTCCAAGGTCGATTCTCCTGCCAGCTGAGATGGTGACCGGGTTCTCGTCGGGAAGCGGGATGCCTAGGCACAGTGGGTGGACTCTCCGTTTGGCTTCCCTTTGAAACCTGGAAGGAATACTCCTCAAAGAAACACACCCAAGTGTACATAGTGTGGGACATTGACATGGTCATGAAGTGTGTACCTCTCAGAGTTGGCTCAAGTTGCTCGCAAGATTGTCCCAAGTGGGTCCAAGGACCGAGTGCGTGACTTCGTTGAGATATGGACACGAACAAACCCTTAGCACTCTCCCTGGGGTTCCTACCTGGATCCGTTGCATTACCGCCACTGCTAGGCTTCTGGATGCTGGGTTTGCTGCCGGAATCCCGGAGGGTGCAAAGTTCTGCTACCAGGATTGGCGACTTCAAATGAACTACGTATTCTAGAGACGTACATGGGGGTTGATCAGCATTCCTGGCCCCCAAATGACCATGGGTAATGCTTCGCATTTAGTGTGACATATCACATTTTGTGGTTTCCATCAATGGTCATCCCATATAGAGAACCTCTCGATCAACCCCCACATGTGCATTGACCCTTTCACCAAACATGTTGAAAATAATGAATTCGAATGTACAATCATCAAAGAAACCCATCCCATCCTCCGCCCGATTTTGGGCCCCGGGCCCATGATGAGCTGGCCCCACAAGCCGCTCTTCAAAGCCTCCGGGAGCTGCTTCGCCTTCAGATCTTTCAGCGCGTCCTGATTTCGGCTTGGCCCTTCCGTGGTTCAGCCGCCCCCAGTGGATATGGATCTAGGTCCTCCAGTAGAGAGGTTTGAATAAGGGTACCCTTTTTCGGGTAGTCTATTTTAGTAGGGGAACTCCCCCCAAAAAGAGACAGGGCACCACTAGAGGACCTAGGGATGGTCACAGAAGGGCACTCGAAAAAAGGCCCTGAAGGATGGTTGACCCAAGTTTCTTGCTGCGAAAAGTAGGGAATGAGAATTGGAATGAACCCCTTTGGTCCCCGAAAGAAGGAAACCAAAAGTTGGATGGTTTTCTCGAGGTCATTTCATTTCTCATTCCCTGCCTATCGCACCAGCAAGTTTTGATGGTAATCCTGAACAGTCAGCAACGGTGGTTTCAAAAACACAGAGACATGGGCAACAAAGGTGGCCATATTGATCCAACCAATGTTTTAATGGTCGGTGGTAACTGAGCCGCAGGGGTTGTCCCTTTCCCCTTAGCGAAAGGTCCATCACCTTTTGCATCCCGTCAATCGGTTGTTCGCGGGCCACGAAAACAAAGAAAAGAGGACAGAACCCCCCCCCCCCGCCGAGCCAATGTGCTTCCAAACGGTAATTTGGGGCCTTTGGGTCACACCAAAGCTATATGGCATTGGGCAGGCGGCGTTCTTCGGAGGATTCCGTTATTTTTTTTTTGCGGTTGTTCTGGCCCATTATTCTAGCGTTGTCAAAGTCACCCCCTTGTAGGTCAAAGGGAACCAACCCCAATTTCTGACTTTGACAACCCCAGAAAAAGTCAGAATAATGCCCCCAGTTGTTGGTGGGGGGAAGGGAAGGGGGAGGCTTCCAAATACTTCGCAGTTTCTGTGCGGACTCTGTCTCAAGGGGTTCACAGTTGGTTTCTTTTGACCGGGTATGGTATCACCGCACGCAAGTAACTCAGCTACAGCCTTTCAGCAAGCAGGAAGACATACTTGCTGGCAGAGTCCGAGGGAACCCTTCACAACAACTTGGTTGCTCCCATTCCCCTCCTAAAAGACGGCAAGAACGCACCAGGGAGTGCTTGGATGCTGCAATGTGGTTTCTTCGGATAGATGCGCGTCCTGATTTGCCTGCTGCTTCAAGGCTTTTGGAGAGCCCGTCCTGATTCGACTCCCACGCCGGCTTAGGAGCTTGAGACGCTTCTGGCTTTGCTTGACCACCTGAGCCGTGACCAAGTGTCTTGCACAGGGCGCCGATCCAAATGCTTGCTTGTCTTTTCAGGTATTCCTTTTGAGCACCAAAGAAATGCTGCCTTTGAGGCTAGTAAGTGCATTATTGTGGATAATTGGCAAATTTATATGATCCAACAAGTGAGGCGTTTTCAGAAGTACGTTATCACTTTCAAGGGGCTTGCATTTGTAATTATCAAAGAAACTCCCATTCCATCCATGTCCCACAATCCTGAATGGGAAGTGTCTTGAATCAGGGACCTCCTCTTTCATAGTTGCGGTTAAAAGAAAACCAACCAGAAGCTACCGTTTTAAGACATGCCCGAGGTTAGGAATTTTCTTGGAGCCTGGTTGGTTGAAGTCGGTTTCCTCCAGTCATCCTTGCACGCAACGCACAGAACAAACATCTGCCAAAGATGTAAAAGCGTGAAGACCCAAATAGCATACACAGGCCAGCGGTAGGCACAGTGCGGGTACTGGAGCGCTTAACTGGCAAAGTTTTAGGCTTTTGGGGCCAACACACAACTACCTCTCCTCGAGATCCTTCAGCTTCCCAAAGCACTACCCCACTTTTTAGGGGTGAATACTGCAACTAAGCCAAAGGCTGGGAACACCGGTCGGTGCATGCGACACTTGACCCTTAATCTAACATGTCCTTCTCAGGCTTCAAGGCGGCATCGCAGGTCTGAACTGCCAGGGTATTGGCGCAAATCTCCGTGCAAAGAAGAAGAGTGCACACTGCTCCTTGGTCAAATTGCCAACATGTTCCGCCCAAAGACTGTTCCAATGGCATGGAATCTGGAGGCAAAAAACACCCAAGACCTTGCCTTTCAAGCGTTCGCCGCTTCAGAAGCCACATGGGACTGTGACCCCTTCGCCAAATGTCGCTCAATCTTTGCCAAGCTAATTATCAGGCAAATGATCGAAGCTCCGTTTCACACCCTTCAACGGTACCCTCTCAAAAGGCCACACCCATACTGTATGGGATTTGTGTGAACATAGGGTTCCTCAAACAATGGGGGTGGTTTCCCTTTTGGTTCCCGTCCTTGAACCAGCCCAAAAGGCAAGGATACCAACTCAAAACACGCGCACACACAGAGACACAGATCTTAGGGTTGTCCAGGTTTGGGGCCCATCGAGAGCGCCCGGATTGCCCGCCTGAGTTGGCGTCGGGACCTGCGTTGGTGCTTTGAAGTGCAAACAGTGCAATCGGTTCAAGCGTGACGCGGGCGCCGGCAACTCCCCCAATTCCAGTAGGACATCATGTAGATGTGACGGTTGCAACACTCGCCTGTGCCATTCCCGCGATTCCATGTCCACAGCCGGCATTCTGCCAGGTTGTTTCTGATGGTTTCACCTTAAACTTACCATTTCTTCCGCATCGGAATATCAAACTCGTGGTGATGGAAAAAACCAAGTCTCTAAAGCACAACAGCATACGTAGACAAGTCGCATTCCGATTCGTTGCCACGTCCATTCTCATTGGTTCCTCAATGGAATCTCGGGGATGTTTCTTGGAGAAAAAAACATGAGACTTTTGTTAGATCGGTTTTGCGTAGAGAGGGCAGTTCCGAGTGTTCAATTGAAACACACATTGTAAACATTTTCAGAAGTGCGATAGGCATGGGGCTACATGCTGATTTATTTATAATCATTGTAGAAAATGCAGATGACTCGTGCATGCTGACCGTTCATAGTTGCAGCACGTCATCAAATCTTGATATAGGTTTGCCGACGTGCATAAAGGAGCTGACAAAGTTCACATTGAAGATCCAAGCTTGAAGAAGACTCTAAAGAAGGAAGCCTATCTGCTCCCAAAGCTGGGTTGCAAATAACCGTGTGCAAGTGTACCAGCATGCACCAGCTGGCAAAAGACTGCCTGGCCTCAACACGAGAGACTTGGTGCCCAACAAGGAAGTGCCACAGCACATGTTTCTGTAAAGCACCAAGTTGAATCATTGAAGTTGTCAATCACAGGTATTCAGCTCGCAAAGAACCCTGCTGCCATGGTACGACCTCATTGGGCTGCCATGTTCGTGTTTGGAAAACAGCCTTCTCTCAATCTTCGGCTTTACAGTGGAACGGATCGGATGAAAGACCTCAGGAAAACACACAATATTCTAGAGCCAACCAAACCAGTCGAACAGCCGAACACAACAAACAACAAAGCAGATCGTGAGGAAATGCGGGGTAGAACTTTACGTTGGATGTATAAATGTTGCGTCATTTGTGCAGTTCAAGAAGCTTAGTGTGATTTCCAATTTCGTTGTGGGTGTCCACAATCGCCACGTTTCTCGAGGGCTGCTTCTTTTGCGGAAAGAGCTTTGGTGCTTCGACGTTGAGATTGTGTCATTTCACTGCAAAGACCCTGAGGAGTACCACTAAACTAACTAAAAACAACTAAGAACCTAAGGAACCGTATGGCTGGGACCCACCATGTTTAGAGGGAACCACAAGTAACCACAAGCCCGCCATTTCTGATCCGCATTGCGGGTAATGCCGTAGCCAGAAAGCGGGGGTCGGGGACCTGGCGTAGGGATACCGGACCTAGGGAGAACCTCCCACACAGGTGTGGTCCAAATCCCCATCACATAAGTGGGATTCACCCCGCAGGTTGGCAGTTCCCTTGATTGCAACCCAAATATCACCCCGACCCTGTCTCGGGCTCGATAGCTGAGTTGGAAGGAGTCCCGACCCCTTCAAGTTGGCCACAGGGGGTGTAGAAAATTGTTTTAATTCCAAGCACCAAACGTCGCTTTAATTCATCCCCCCAGCAACAAACGACGCTTGCTGAGGCCTCCAAAACCCGGTTGGACTGGTCAGGAAATGAGGGGATCACCCCACGAACCATGCCCTAGTTTCCATTTAGGGGGTGCAAATGCGTTCCGAAATGATGGTGGATTCCCTGAGTTGCAACCAGTTTTTGCCCCAGGTGCCCCACCCAAAAACCCTCGAGCAAAACAAACTCTTGCAGGCGAGGGGCCCCTAGTGGTGGCGGGTGCGCTGCGGGGCTGATCCTCACCTGCGTGGATTTGGGCTGGGGAAGCACTTGGATGATGGTCTAAATGATTGGATTGGCGTGGTGGGGGGGGGACTGTACAACCAAGATTAGTGATGATCATAAGGGACATCACAAGTGTGCGCAATTAATTAGACTGGGAGCTATTCTGCAGATTGTAACCATGCAAACCTTGGTTCTAGCTGCGTTACCTCCCCAAAAAATAAATAAAAATGCAATTGCTTATCATGCACTTCCTACCCTGACACGGAACGGCACCAAGCCATCGGTGGGAAATGGCACGGACATCTTTGCTCCTACGATCTTCTCACGTGAGTCACAAATGGTCTAACCAGGAAAAGAATGAACAAACCGGCCGCACCTATTTCTGGTTGGAATCATCCCTTTCTAGCCTTCATCTACCCGGGCTCAAGTGAGTTAAGCATTGTTTCAGGCCAGAAAACCGCTGGTGTTAGTCTACATGTCCATTTGCCGCGGCTGATTGAAGGACTGATTTCGCTTGGTAGCATCCGGTTGGCTTTCCCTTGAAACGCCCCTGATGTAAGAGTCAGGTGGGCGCCCACATTGGACATGGGAAAGAGCTTGAAAAGCCTGGCTTCTCTTTCGGGGACGCTGCTTTTATATACGAGCTTCTGTTGATTCTCGGAGTTAGCTTGATAGGATTAAGCGTGAACAATTTGATGAACAAATGGTAGGGACCCATTTGCTATGCACTACCTACATCTAACATGTTCAACGATCCTTCGTCCCTTTCCATCAAACGCATAGGCAACCCACATAAATACCATCATGAGGATCATCCGCAAGTGTCCTGAGGATCAATACATAGCCTCAGTCGACAAAAGAGTGATCACAAAGCCTGATGGCTCTTTCTAGAAGTTGAGATGTTTGGTTAGTAAGGATGAAGCCACATCCTGATGTTGGGTCTACCTATGGAATTGTGCTTTGAATCCAAACCAAGCAATTGGCCAAAACCAGACCCATTGGACAAATTGCAGCATGCGCAAGAGTGCGCAGGCCCTTGGCGTGTTGTTTGCCTCGTAGGTGAAGCATCCTCTAAGTTGATCCGCTTTACACTGTGTTTACCCTCTGAGACCTCCAGGATATGTTCCCTTCTTCCAACATAAGACCCCACCTGAAGGGGAAGCAATAAGCTAGTGTCACTGCACGGAAGTTGCAAAAGAAACACAACAATATGCGCATATACATATATATATATATATATGTTGTACATAGACAAAGCTTTTAAAGATAGGGCTCCTTCTCACGTTGGATGGCTTGAAAGAGAAACCAATAACTATGTGGATATCCTCTGTCTTTTGAAACACACCAAAACCTTGAATGTCTTGTAGCGGAAAACGTCAAACGTGAAGCAGTTCACAAGAGAGCACGCTATGCGTTTGGAACTTTGACCAGACCATTTTATTTGGGACTGTGACCCAGTCTCGCGACAGTTTGGCAGTTTGGCACTATCACTCACCACACCTGTTTCCAGTCACCAAGTAGTCACCAACTGTATTCATGGCTAGAGTCATATGTCTTGTGTTTTTTTTGCCAATGACCACTTCATCCCCGCGACTTGCTGCAAAAGTGCTTCGGATGGCACTTGGACTGCAAATGCAGTGTAAGCTCCGGGGAAACTCTTTCAGAGGTCACTGGTTTTCCCCTTCAAAAGTTGCAAATTACAGGTGGTTTTTCATTGACACTGCCACTTTGAAGGTTCTGACAAGGGAAATGGAGGAAGCCCTGTCACTGTCTTGCAAGAGTTGTCTTGAGTTGAAATCTTTGTTTGAT